CACACACACACACACACACACACACACACACATATATATATATGTATATATGTACCATGTGCACTGGACCTTTATCTTCCTACATATTATGCACTCATATGCACTAGTCCTAAATCTTCTCAGTATGTACTACCTGGTCCTATATCTTGTATGTACTCATCGGTCCTATATCTTGTAAGTATGTACTCACTAGTCCTATATCTCACTGGTCCTACATCTTGTAAGTATGTACTCACTGGTCCTATATCTTGTAAGTATGTACTCACTGGTCCTACATCTTGTAAGTATGTACTCACCGGTCCTATATCTTCTCAGTATGTACTCACAGGTCCTATATCTTGTAAGTGGTACCAATTGGTCCTATATATTGTAAGTATGTGCTCACTGGTCCTTTATCTTGTAAGTATGTACTCACTGGTACTCATGTGCACTGGCCCTATATCTTCTCTGTATGTACTCACTGGCCCTATATCTTCTCTGTATGTACTCACTGGTCCTATATCTTGTAAGTGGTACCCATTGGTCCTATATCTTGTAAGTATGTACTCACTGGTCCTATATTATCCTCTAAGCATGTACTCACGTGCACTCGTCTGAAGGCCTTGTACTCTAAGTAGGTGAGCTGGGCCGCCAGTTCCTTAGGCTCCAGGTGGTTAAAGACAAGTGAGACTTTCCGCGAGTGTTTCCCCCAGGACGTGTTCCGCACTGACATGTTGCGCATCCAGTCATAGGAGGGACTAAGAACAGGAGAAAAAATTGAATATTTCATTTTTGTTTTAGTAAGATTTTTACAGCACTTGCAACACAATTAGGTCATATATAAGTGAAGGAGATTAGAGGTGTTACAAAATCGTAACAAGCACAAAAAGGAAGGAGGAGAGATAAGGATGAGATGTTTGATAGGAAAGAAGGAGCAAACCACACCCGGAGCACCTGCCAAACACCTAAAAAGGAAATATCTAATGTTTTCAGCTCCAACTGATACAATTTAGGTAAATTATCAGAGGGTCAAAAACTTCCACCCTGCTTTACAACGCCAATCTGAGCTGAGTGGGATGGATAGAGCATGACTACAGACTGAAATACTTGATATAAAAACCTGCCCGTACAAGAATAGAACACACTTCTTCTGCATGCGATGGATAAAAAGCCGAGCCGTCACACAAAAGATGACTTCCAGATACAAGGCAGATGGGTTGGAGTATGAATTAAGATAAAGAGAAACACATCGAGGTAACAATGCTCATTCAGTGCAAGAAAAAGCAAGGCAGATAGACAGAAAGAAGAAGAGAAAGAAAAGAAGTATATATTTTACAAGTTCATGTTTATGACAGGCATTGTAAATTAAAAAAAGGCTAGAAAGACCAGAAATAAATTAAGGAGATGCCAGAAATAATTTGAGTATAAAACTACAGCATGTGTGGCGTCGGTGACCTAGTGGTTAGGCTCTCGGACTCGCAACCGTAAGGTCGAGGGTTCGAATCCCGTCAGGGACCCGACGTCGTGTCCTTGGGAAAGTATTTCCTCACTTCACCCAGGTGGGAATGGGTACCCGGCTATAGACAGCGAAAGATCTTGTCAGTATGTTAGTGTTTGAGCGCTTAATCAGCTGCTTGTACTGTATGCTTCCCGGGAAGCTGAGAATGTTTCGGAGTGTAAAGCGCATAGAGCCTGCTGTTGAGCGGGGATTTGCGCTATACAAATGCTATCTATTATTATTATTATTATTATTATTATTTGTTAGAGTAAAGTGAAGTGCATTGACACAATAATGGTATTTAGCGCAGGGAAATAGCAAGAAGGACAGACAGAAACAACAGACTGAAAGAAACGAAGTAGGACTTAAAAATGACACCCTTCACCCACCCACATATGACAGGCCATGTCAGTAGCAAGTTTAAAAAAAAAAAAAAAGACATTGAGAAAATAGAAACATTATAAAATAGAATATACAAAATTAAAAAGAAACTTGTAAACAAGTCTTCTGTGTGCGAAGACGAATAAGCACCTAACCCCTGCACCACAGGCCCAGGCTCTCAGCAGGAAGGCAGAGACACTCATCTAAAAGTTCTCCCCACAAGGGAATCTGAGCCCAGTACTCACACTTTGGAGACATCCACTAACTCCTTCAGCTTGTAGTTCCCTTCCGCCTGCAGCAAAGAGCTCAGGCGCTTGACCGCTGTGGTCACCTTGGTGTCCATGTCGAAATGCAAGGGAAACTTTCGAATCCAGTACCTGGGGAGACACACACACAACGTTTGCCATACCGTGAGACTTAACGAAGAAAGGCCATCTGTACGGATTTAATGCCCCTTTCAACACTATAGGGGTAATTCAAGAAGGAATACTGACTCCTAATAAAGGGGAGGGGTCCAGGATGTTGGAAAAAAATTGAGGTGGGAGGGGGGGG